ACACACACACATGTGACACAGGCGTGCACACCCCACACAGACCCAGCTGTGCACACACAGCCACAGCAGGCACTCACACACACACATGACACAGGCGTGCACACCCCACACAGCTCCAGCTGTGCACACACAGGCACAGCAGGCACTCACACACACACACACACACGTGACACAGGCGTGCACACCCCACACAGCCCCAGCCTGTGCACACACACACACCAGCACTGCTGGCAGCACACGGTGCCACAGACGCAGCTCCACGCACACACACCCCCCCCACAGCGGGCACACGCATGCACACCCGTCAGGTGAGCACACACGTGCCCACGTGCAGCTCCCAGCACACCAGATCCCTGTCTCTGGGTACACTCTGAGGTACTCAGTTGAACCTTGGGGGGATCTGTGCCCCCAGCACGGCCCAGTCAGATGGGCCCTGGGGCCGCGCAGCTGCAGCACATCTGGCGAGGGTGGGCCGGTGGTGGGGCCGGACATGTGTGAGGAGGGGGTGGAGGCACCGGGCCCCCCCGCAGCCCTCCCAGGCGGGACACAGACACCAGCACTTCCCTGCCAGCTGCAGCACCAGGAGCGAGAGCAGCGGCACTGTGGGACACCCCAATACTGCAGGACCTACACAAACATGTCATTGGCCAGGCTGTGTGGGTGCTACAGGGGGACAGACACAGTGCCCCCACCCCCTACACCCCCTCGGGACACCAGGCACCCAGTGGAGGACAAAGGGAAACTGAGGCATGGTTCGCCCATCAGCCCCAGGGCACCCTCCAGCCCTGCCCGCGGCCTTGTCCCCAGTGTCAGAGAAGGGGGGGACACAGGCGGCCCCCCCAGCCTGTTCCCACACGCTGGGAATGGCCCCAGAGCCAGCGCGGGGGAGTGGCCCCACCCGTCGACACCCAGTCGCTGAACTGGTCCCACTGGGTCCCACCGCCGCCGGGGCGGCTCCGGCGGGGGACAGCACCCAGGGCTGGCCCTGCCCGGACCTGCACCGGCCCCCGGGGCCAAGGACGGGCCGGGGGGGCCCCGCCACACCCCGACCCACAGGGTTCTCCCCGACAGCGGGCGCCGCGGGGCACTCAATGCCACATGGTTCGGGAACAGGCACGGGCACCCACTCACTGTGGGGCTGCGGTGGGAAGGGTCCAGCAGCCACCCCACGGCACCCAAGGGAGCGGCCGAGGAAACTGAGGCACACTGAGGGGTGCTGGTTCAGGGGGACCCCGGGTGGGAGCCCACCTCCAGCGGCTCCCAGCTGCCGGCGCAGCGGGCGGTGATTACCAGGGCCGTGATGGACGACCCTGTCACGGGGAAATGGAATCGGGAGCAGCCGCGATGATGATCGCCTTCATCGCCTTCATCGCCTTCATCGCCTCCCCCATGGCGGCCCCCGGCGAACAAAGAGCCACCGCGGGGACACGGCACCCACTGAGCCCCCCGGCACCCAGCATGGCCTCGGTGGGGCTGGGGACACCCTGACCAGGGCCTGCGGGGCCGTTAATAACTGGGGTATAACACAGCCACTAATGAAGGTGGCCATGCCACCACAATTAATGGCACACACCCCGGCAGGGCCACTGCCTGCCCCCTGTCTCGGCTTCCTCAGCAGCACATGGGGAGAAGCACCCAGAGTTTGTGTCACAGAGCTGGTGCACCCCAAACACAGATCCCCAGGGGTGTGGCTGAGGGCAGGGAGACCCCCCCTCACCAGTGCCACCACCCCAGGACAGGTCACGGACCACTGCTGGAGCAACAGCCTGGGATAGGTACCTGTGGCCCACACTGGGGACAGACCCTGGCACAGAGGGGTCCCCACACGCCCCCCCCAGCCCTGGGGGCCACACCAACTTCCCCCGGGGCCGCAATACTCACTGGCAGGTGACGGGGTGCTGTATCCACTGACAGGGAGCTGGTGCTGGATGCCAGCCAAGGTGCTGGGGGGCGAGAGCCCCCCCAGCATGTGCGGGAAGAAGAAGGCGTAGGGGGGCACGGGGTAGCCATTGAGGTGCCCCCCGCCCGGCGTGGGGCAGGAGCTGCTGTTGCTGGCCATGGCGGGGGTCTCCAGCGCGGGGGGGCTCTCAGGCGGGGGGCGAGCAGAGCATGGGGCCCGCGGGTGCCCCGCTGCCGGGCTGGCCTCGCTGGTGATGCTGGTCCTGCGGTGCTGCAGGGAGAACAGAGAGGGGGGTTAGCAGAGGGGCTGGGACCCCCGAGCCCCACCCCGCGGGGGCACCCACCATCCGTGCCTCAGTTCCTCCGGCCCCCCCGGGTCCACATCCCCTCCCGGCCCCAGGAGGGCGCAGCCGGCCGGGGCCAGGGCTCCCCGCGGGATTAACGCCGATCCCTCCGATTAACGACACCGGGACGGCGGCACCGGCAGGCGCAGCTCGCTAATCCCGGCTTAGCGGCGAGGGGGGGACGAGGGGACGGTGTGGGGACGGCCTGGGGACACTGTGGCCCCACAGGGCACCCCCTCCGGCCAGCGGCCACACCGCGGCCCCAAACCTGCTCCCCCGGGGCTGGCATAGGAGCCGGGGCACAGGGTGGGTCCCGGGGGGCAGCACCCCGTGCCCCAGCCTGGGGGGCTGCGAGGCAGCTGGGGGCGGGGGGGGACACGGGCACAGCGGGGTCCCCTGAGGACAGCGGCTCTGCTCCAGCCCGGCTCTGCCGTCACGGCCACACACCCGCCCGGGCTCCGCTCCCCCCACGCCTGCACCGAGCGCGAGGGGGCTCAGCCACCCAGTCTCGGGCAGGAGAGGGCTCAGCCCCCCAGGACAGCACCGGGGGGCTCAGCCCGGCCGCCCCTCGCAGGGTTGGGCTCTGCCCGTCGCGGAGCAGCCCCCGCCCTGTGCCATGTGCCAGGACGTGCCGTGTGCTGGCAGCTCCCACGCCAGGCCAGTGGGCACGGACCCCTCGGCCCAGGCCGGTCGGGGGGCAGTGGGGAGGGGGGCGCGGGGCTTTCACAATCCCGGGCTGGCTGTTTATTTAAGCGCTGGCGCGGGGCCCGGCGGGGGCTGTTTATTTGCCGAGAGCGCTGGCTCCCGGCCCCGCGGAGGCGGAAAAGGATCCAGAGGAACAAGGCTGGGCCGCCCGGCGAGGCGCTGGGGAGGGGCCGGGATGGGCATGGCCCTGCCCGCCCCCCCAGCACCCAGCTGGGTGCACCCACTGGAGGCAGGACCCCCGTTCTCCCAGCTCACACCAGCACCCATCGTCCCAGCACTGCCCTCCACCCCTGGGGAGCACCCACAAGGAGACCCATGGTCCAGCCATCCCCGGGGAGGGCATCCAGCAGTGGCTGGGTGGGGGTCACATCCTCCCCAGCCCAGGTTGTCCCAGTGCACGCGGGATTCCCATGGGCATCACCAGGCACGGTGCCGGATGCCAGGTCAGCATCTGCCCAGGGACAGCCCTCACGTGGGGTCCCCCCAGGGCAGTGCAGGGATCCCGGCCTGTGGTATGGGGGGCTGCCTGTGGCCCCCCCAGCCAGGCCATGGCTCCCAAGTCATGCTGGCCGAGGGGAGCCCAGGGAGGGAGGCGCGGGAAGAACTGTTTATGTTTGCCGGTGCCAAGTGCTCGCTGGGCACTGCGCCAGCCGTGCCGGGGCCCAATTACTCAACCCACTCCGGCCCCCCCGCACGCTGCCGGCCTGGGACCAAGCGAGGCCAACGCCACCAGGCTGGCCACTGTGCACCCCAACCCAGCCAGAGGCCCCCCTGCCCCTTCCCAACGCTCCACGGGACCAGCAGTGGCCAGGAGAGTCCAGGAATCTGGGCCGGTCCTGCTCCCGTGGGTCCTGGTGGGCAGGAGGAGCTGTCACCCATGGGAGCACCCATGGGAGCTCCCACGGGACCACGCGCCGGCACTGCCCCCGGCACACGGCTGCTCCCCAGCTGGAGGGTCTCGGGCGCCGCAAATGCGGGTCCTGGGTGCTCCAAATGCGGGTCCTGGGTGTCCTGGCCAAGCTGTGCTCCCAGAGCCCCCCAGAGCCGGGGAGCAGGGGCTGCACAGCCCCTCGGCGGGGCCCACGCTCACCCGCCCCGACGCCTTTTCCTCCAGTCCCTGCAGGAGCTGGACGGGGCCCGGAGCTTCCTGGAATCCAGCGTCTCGTTTCAGCCCCGTGGAAAACGCTGCCGCGGGGCCCGGGCCAAATCCAGCCACGAGGAACCTCCCGCCCAGGCCGGGGGTGGCCCCCGGGAGTGGACGGACGGACGGATGGACACGCAGACCGGAGTCATTCCCAGGGTTGGCAGCAACGCAGCTGGGGGGGGCACAGCCTGGGGAGGACATGGCCAGGGGACATGGCTGGGGGAGCCAGCATCCCCCCATGACCCCAAAGAGGGCAAGAAGCCCACCGTGCACACCCAGACAGGCCATGAAGCCCTGGCACAGCCCCTAAAGTGACCCCTTCCAAAAAGGCAGCCCCTCACAGTGACTCCCGGGGACCCTCCAGGCTGGGTTCAGTGCCCACAGCCCCACTGTGCTCCCCGCCTCTGGCACAGCCAATGCCAACTGCAGAGGGACCAGGATGGTACCACGACACCCCCTCCTCACGACCACCCCAGCCAGCTGCACCCTGTCCCACCCAGGGGCTCCCCCAGCCCCCGGTGCAGGCAGCACCCCCAGCCCCGGTGCCCACGTCACACCCGCAAACCCAGCCAGGCTTCCTGCCGGGGCACACGGCGATGGCAGCGGATGTGACACGCCGGTGAGCGGGGGCACCGCCCTGGCCCCCCCGGCAGAGGGGGGCAAGTGGGGCTGGGGGGTGCTCGGGGGTGCCTGGCAGGGCAGTGGGCAGCAACCCAGCCCTTCCTGTCACGCCGGCGGGCACCACGCTCCCAACCGCAGCTTCCCCTTGCCACTCTCGATTCCCAGGCAGACAGGTTTCAGTTCAGCCCTGGCCCAGTTGCTACAACCCCCTGTCACCCCAGAGCCTGTCACTCTGCTCCCCTGTCACCCCAGAGCCTGTCACCCTGCTGACCTGCCACTTCATTCCCCAGTCCCTTACCCTTGGTGTCACCACAGTTCCACCACCCCAGCATCCTGCACTCCCCAAATCTGGCAGGGGCTGCTGCCCACGTCCCCCGTCCTCACCGGGACAGGCGACAGGGACCTCCCAGTGCCAGCTGCCCCCAGGGCGTGTGGGCAGAGGTGAGAGTGCCGTGCTGGGCTGGGGGGGCACGGGGTGGCAGCCCCGGGGCAGGGCAGGAAGCGCCCGCGGAGCCACTGCGGTCGCAGCCTGCGGTTTCCTCGCTGCTGGCAGAGCCAGCCCGGGGTGGCCTCGCACGCGAGGCCAAGGGCCTGGCTGGCCCCGCTGCCCCCCCAGCCACCACCAGCCCCCCCGGCCCCCCCGGGCCAGTCAGCACCGTGCACGTGGGGTGAGGTGCCCCCCTGGCAGGGCCGCTGAGTGAGACCCCCTCCCCGTATCCCCAAAGCTCTCAACCGTGAGTCACCGTCACGTTTCTCACGTCCCCGGGCAGGCGTGAATCATGCCCAGCCTGCGGCACGGCCAGAGCCAGCGGCACACACTCGGCCAGGCAGCGTGTGCCAGAGTCAGGGCTGCTGGGACCGGGAATCTGGGAGTGCTGGGGCCAGTGGAGACCCCAGGACCTGCATCCCGCTGCTCCCCAGGGGCAGCGGCACATCCAGGGGCTCACTCAGCCCCACCACAGGCCCCTGGGTAGCACCGGTGACACCCTGCAGGCCAGTCACCACCCACGATGGGCCACTGCCACTCCCCGAGCATGGACACGGGACCAGGGACCCCACGCTGGCCCACAGGGACAGTGTCCATGCCGGCAGGGGTGATGTCCATGCTGGCCTCCCACCCCGTGGGGGCACACAGGCACCCCAAGGTGTGTCTGCAGGCCCCATGCCATGGGTCCTCGCGCCGGCACCCCACATCCCGCTGCTGCCGGGAGCCACACGCTGAAATTCCACCTGTCGCGGCCGGGTCGACTCCGGTTACGCCAGGAACGCGCCGCTCCGGTTACACCTCCCGCACCCACCGCCAGACGCGCCATTCTTCTGTGGGAACAGGTGCCCCGGCCCCCGCCACGGCCCCCAGGATGGCCATGGCTGTGCCAGGCCACCACCGGCACTGCTCGGGCCTGGCTGTGCCATGGGTGCTGCAGGAGCTGCAGGCCAGTCCCAAAGGTCCAGCGGTGTCCAGGTCAGTGCCACCCACCAGCCCCTCACACTGTTGGGTGGCCCTGCAGTACCCTGGGGACCCTCACTCACACCCACCACTGCCTGCCCATGAGGGGACACCCCCAGGCCCAGCCCAATCCCCACCCTGCATCCCAACCCTCAGGATGAGCGCAGGGATCTGCAGGCCCAGGGGTCCCGCGGTGCCCTATCCCAGGGGGTCCCAGGATGTCCCATCCCGGTTCCCTGCGGGCTCTCGGGAAGCAGGGAGATGGTGTCCTGGCAGCCGCCCGCGGCAGCCCCGGTTGTTTTTAGCCGAGGCTGCGGCGGCAGCCGGCGCCCTGGGAATGGCGTGCCGGGAACAGCGCGGCCCCAGACAGCCCTCGCTGGCTCGGCGACAGCCGGCAGACAAGTGCAGCTGGCACGGGGCCGCTTGGGACACAGCGCGGGGGACCCGGCGGGCAGGCGGCCGCGCGACACCCCCGGACACCGGGATTTGGTGGCACCGTGCCCCTGGCCTGGGCAGGCTCCCGGGAGCCGGGACCTGGAGTACCTGGGGGGGCCAAACCTCCCTGTTCCGCAGCCACCACGACCCACCGCGTCGCGCCCGGGCCGGCTGTGGGCGGGCGGGCAGCCGTGTGCCACCACCACGTCCCCTCGCCATGTCCCCTGTCACAGCCTGGCAGCCGGGGCTCAGCGGGGACAGCGGAGGCCACGGCGGGCGCACGCGGCCCCTCGCCGGGCCCTGCCACGAGCCACCCCCCGCTAAGCCGCCTCCAGCCGCAGGGAGATTAACCCATTTTCCGTAATCAGCACATGTGTCACCGCAGATATGATCGCACCCCCCGCGTCCGCCGCGGCCCCCCCGGGGCTGGCACTGCCAGGGGGCCCTGTGGCACAGGGTGCCCCGTGGCATGGGGCACCTCGGCTCTCCAGGCATGCACCGCAGGGGACACCCAGCTCTGACAGCCCTGACGTGTTGCAGCAGCACCCCAAAGAGGGCTGGGGGACCCCAGAGCCCAGCCATCCCCTCGGTGGCAGCGCTGGCATCGGCACTGGGCATCACCAGGATGGTGGCTCAGGGCACGGTGGTTCAGGGCACGCATGGCCGGCGCAGCTGAGTGTGGCACGTTGTCACGCCAGAACCTCCTGGATATAAATAGATGCAGAGCGGCGGGATGGTGAATCCCAGCGCCGCAGGGCAGGCGGTGGCGGTGGCACGGGCCGTCCCCAGGCTCTGTGGCCACGGGGACAGAGCGCAGGGACACAGCAGGTGTGTGAGGACAGCTGGGCATCCCTGTGGGATGGGGCAGCCACAGGCACCGGGCACTGCTGGATGGGGCACAGGGCACTGCCCTGCTCCTGCCGCCCCGCCGGCGGTGGCCGTGTCACCGTGTCACCTGGGGGGGCTGCGAGCGGTGGGCGAAGGGGCCGGACACCCACCGGGGCACTCGCGGGCATCCCCGGCGCGGGCACCCACGGGAGCAGGCGCATCCCGCGCCGCAGCAAGGTCACCCCCAAGGGCAGGGTGGGGGCCCACGGGTGACATATGGCCCGGGAGCGGTGGCCGCGGGGCCGCTAAGCCACCGAGCCGTCACCCGCTAATCCCGGCGCGGGGCCGGCGGCGGGTTCCGCACCCGGAGCCTCCAGCCAGTGCCTGCCCGGCATCCCGGGGCGGGGGGACCGGCGTGGGGAACCCCCGTATCGCCCCAGCACCCGCCGCGCTGCGGGGCGGCCCTGCCACCAACGGGGTCAAAGGTCAGAGGCACAGATTTGGGGGGCAGGCGCACAGATTTGGCTCTGCCCCCGCCCCTCCGCGGCCCGGGGCGCTGCTGCCCGTGCCCGGGGGGGGGTCCCCCTCGCTGAGCTCCCCGAGGGCAGCACCCCCCACTCTCCCACACCCCGCGAGGGCTCCGCCGCCCCCGGGACGGCCCCGGGGCAGCTGCCGCGGTGGGGGAGGCGGCGGCGGGCGGTGTCCCCCCACCGGGCCCCGTCGCCCCCCGCCCGGCTCCCCCGGGCCCCCCCGACCCCCCCGCCCGCCGCCGCCCTGTCAGCCGCGCAGAGCGATGGCTTCCTCCGCCCGCCGGCCAGGAAACGGCGCAGACGCCGCTCCCGCCCCCCGGCCCCCGCCGCCCCCCGCGCCCCCGGCCCCGCTCCCCCGCCGGGCCCCGGCCCCGCCGCACCCCAAAAAGGGGAAGCGGCCCCGGCCCCCCCCCCGCCGGGGGAAGGTGGGGGGGAATGTGGCCGCGCGCCCCAGGGGGGGCCCGGTAATCCCAGGGGAGCACCCCCGGCACCGCGCTCCGCGGCCGCCCCCCGGTCCCCGGTGCGGTGCGGGGCACCGGAGCCCTCGCCGGGGTGGGGGCGCAGCGAGGCCGCTCGGGAGCGCCCCGGCGGTCGGTACCGGGAGGGGGGACTCCGGCGCCCCCGAGCCCGGGGTAGGAGCGGAGGGGCAAAGCCACAATCCAGAACTGGCTGCGGCTCCGGTGCTCCCGGCAGCCTCAGCCCAGCGGGGTCCCTGCCCCCCCCCCCGCGGGAACCCCGGGATCCCCCGGATCCCCCGTTACCGGAGGGGGATCCCCAGAGGCGGTACCGGAGTCGCACCAAGACCCTCCCTCCCCACCGCCCCACGGGTGGCTCCGGGGCCCCTCATTACCTGCTCACGGGAGGGTCCAACACCGAAATCCTTAAACCCGGCGAGCTCCCGGCGGTGGCTGCATGGCGGCGACGGCACCGGGAAGCGGCGGGGCGGGGGGGGGGTGGCTGGAGGGGGGGTTCGCTCCGGCTTAGAGGGGTGAGGGAGGGGTGGGGTGGGGGCTCCCGGGGGGGTTCACCGAGCGGCGGCCGCGGCCATTGCGAGTCATGTGCTCGCGGGGAAACTTTACCCGGGGCTGGGCCGGGCGGGGCGGCGGCGGCGGCGGCGGCGGCGGCGGCGGGGGGGGGGGGGGGAGCGGCGGGGGGACACGCCCCTTTCCCGCCGGACCCGCCCCCGGCCCGCCCCGCCAGCCAATGGGACGCCGCGGGGGCGGGGCGTGGGCGGGGCCTGGCGCCGCTTTGTAACTCTTTGAAGTCTCCAGAAAGCGGAAGGGGAGAAAGTGGGTGCGCGCGCCGCGCTGGGGGGGGGGCTCTTAAAGGGGCCGCGCACCCCAAGCTGGGCGCCCCTCTTCCCCCCCCAAATACAGGAGGAAGTGGTCTGACAACACCACCCCGCCCCCCATCCCACTGACCCCTCCCCTGCCTCTGGACATCGTGGTCACCCCTCAGGGTGAAGGATCGCAGCTCCAACATGAGGGAATACACGGGAGGATGGGTGCTCCCTGGGGTGTGAGGAAGAGGGGTGAGAGGGATGGGGGGAGTAGGAATGGAATGTCCCTGAGCTGGCCCCTCCTCAGGCTCAGAGGGGAAGGGTTGGAGAGCACCCGTGGTACTCCTGGGTGTGTAGAGGGTCTGTACCCAGGGAGGGAGTACCTGGTGGTCTGTCTGTCCCCAGGAGAGATGGTTATGCCAGGATGGGGGTAGGGACACGGACGTGGACATGGACACAGACATACATACGGACACAGACACAGGCTACCAGCCACCCCTCTGGGAGGCCAGAAGGGACACCAAGAGACCTGCACCCACCGGCACAACCAGGACCCTGTGACACGAGGGGACAAAGGGGCAGGAGCTCCCCTGGGGAGACACCTATGAACAGTGTGGGCAGCCTCAGCACACACCCCGGGGGGGTCCCGCTACCCCCACACTGCCCAGGACCCCTGGGTGCCTGTCAGGCCCTGCAGCCCCCACACAGGAGGGTGGTGCCCACTGGGACACTGAACACCATCCCGTGCCTCAGTTTCCCCCGTGTGCTCAGCAGGGCTGGGTGGGACCCCCTGGATTGGGAGCAGCCAGGCCGGGGCACCCCCAACCCGGCACGGCCCCATCCCCGCACACTGAGGCCGCGGCGCCGGCGTGTGCTCAGCCCAGAGGAATGTGCCAAATCACTCCCAGATGTGCTCGGCGGCCGCTCCGACCCCCCCTGCGCCCCCACTGGGGACCCCCAAGCGCCCCACGGGGGGCTGAGCCCATCACCGGTCGGGTCCCACCCTGCCACAGGGCCCAGGCCCAGCCCGTGCCGCGGCGTCGTGGTGCCGAGGCCCAGCCGTGCCCCAGGATGGGCAGGAGGGCGGCGAGTGCCAGGGCGCGGCCAGAGGTGCCACCAGGACAGGGTGGCTGCGTCCCTGGTCCCGCCGAGGTCCCACGGCCCTTGCCCGGCGCGGGCCCGGTGGTGGCGCGGCGGGGTCGTGTGGGGTCCTGCCCCGCACCCCCGGCCCCGGTGCCAGGCGGGAGCAGCCGAGCGGAAAGGGGCTGTCAGATGGAATCTGGGTGCCGGCGGTGACGGCGCGGCGGGAGGCGGCCGTGCCCGCCACGTGGCCGCTTATGTAAGGAGAGTGCAAGGGAGGACAGCAAAGCAGCCGGGGCACCGGGGACACCGCCGAGGGGACACCGGGCCCCCACCACACGCACGGGTGGCTGCGTGGCTGGACACGCGCCTGCGGGGCTGCCCATGGCACAGCTGGGCACTGCCCGGCCCCGTGGGCACGGCACGTGTGTGTGTGCGGGGCTGGGGGACACGGGCACACGTGTGCAGGGTGGGGGGACAGGATGGCAGCAGCCCCTTTGGCCTCCCCACGCCACTGCCACCCCGGTGTCCCGGGGTGTCCCCTTGCTGCTGTGGCACTGCCAGCCCGCGGTGACGGAGGGCCCCGGCGGGAGCTCCGGCACCCACGCGCTTGGATCCGGCTGCGCCATTGATTTTTCATCCACTGCAGCAGAGAGCAGAGCCAGGGCTGGCACTGGCATGGCCGGGGGGCCGTGTCCCCCATGTTGTCCTGCTGTCCCCATCCCCACCTGCACAGCCAGGACGCTCTGGGGACAGTGCCAGCACTGGGGACCCTCCAACCTCGGCCACCACGGCCTGTCTGACCCAGGCGTGGGGTGCCCCTGTGCCCTGCCTGCAGCTGCCTGTGCCACTGTCACCTCACCTGGCACCGTGGTGGGCACAGGGGGGGCTGGGGCAGCCGGGGGGACACGGGGCACAGGGGCTGTGCCTGCGTCACCACCACGTCACCACGGCCCCACACGCTGCCAGGCGCTTCCTTCCTGACACCGTCACCATGTGCCACATCCCCACATGCTGTGGGGCTGCATCACTCCCCGGGGCCTTGGCACAGGGCACAACACGACTGCCACAGCCTGTGGGGAGCCAGGGACCCCCGGGCAGCCCCTGCCCAGCCCAGCTCTGCCCACGGGCAGGAGGACACCAGTGCAGCCCCACAGCCTGGTGACAGGTGGCAGGGCCGCGGTGCCTGCTGATCTCATGGCATGGGGAGGGGCAGGGACAGGGTCCCCCCAGGTCCCTGACGTGGCGAGGGCGCAGGGACGCGGCGCAGAGCGGGCACAGCCTGGGCTGACCCTGCCGCCCGCCCGTGCCGCCGCACACGTCCGACACATGGCAGTGCCGGCTATAAATAGCGCCCGGCAGCGCGGGCTGAGCCTGCCCGCAGCCCTCGGGGCTCCCAGAGCCCCCCTGTGCTCCTATTGCCTCTATTTCCCCACTGCTCCCCATGGCCAGTGGCAGCTGGGGGGCCCTGGGTGCCCCTGAGGTGTCTCCTGGCCTCACAGGGAGTGGGAAAGGGGGTGGGAAAGGGGGACTGCCCTGGGATGCCCCGTTCCATGGTGGGACCCAGCAGCCTCACCAGGCTCCACTTTGTCTGTGTCCTTGTCCTGGGCACCCAGTGCCAATGTCCCCATGGGGATCCCACAAGGCCACAGAGCCAGGGGGCAGAGCCAGGATGGGGCTGGCACACAGCAGGGTCACACCATGGGGCCAGGGGGAAACTGAGACACACTGGGGACCCAGGAACCCCGTCCTGTCCTGCCCCCAGAACCCCTTCCCTGCCCAGGAGCTGCGGAGGGGGCAGCCGGGGGTCCCGGGGGACTGGGTGGGATGATCAGAGGTGGGGTGTGATGGGGGATGGGTGGCACTGACAGAGCCTCGTCCCCTCCCTGCTCCCCCGCCTGCCCAGAGCCCACCACACCCCCCCGAGATGGGGAAGCTGCAAAATTAGGTCAAAGCGTCCATTATTTAACAGAAACGAAGGAGCTGCAGCCAGGAGCAGGGGGGGCTAAGGGGGGGCTGCAGCCCAGGAGAGGGGCAGGGGGAGACAGGGATGGGTCCCCACAGCCCTGGGGAAGGGAGGGACCAGGGGGGCAGTGGGGGGAACAGGGGGGGCAGGAGCCAGAGCTCAACCAGAATGACTTTATTAATGGCAGGAGATAAAGGGGTCCTTGCTGTCCCCCCACCCCCGGCGGACCCTGCACCCCCCCTCTGCCCCTGCCAGCACTGGGACCCAGAGCAGGGCTGGCACTGGGACGGTTCTTCCTGCAGCCAGAAGGGCCCAAAAGGTTCTGGAGGGCCCTGGAAGGCTCCGGAGGAGTCAGGAGCAAACACTGGATCCCTGGGTCATGGCAGGAGCAACAGCAGACCCCAGGATCACACACGGGGGTGGGAACAGGGCCAGGAGCACCAGCACCCACCACTCCCAGCTGCAAAGGGGTTGGGGGGCTGCAAAGGCGCTGGGAGAGGGTCTTCCAGCCTCTACCTTGGCTCCCACAAGTATCATAATATACCATTAATAATATTAATATATTAAAAATATTAATAAAAGAACCCCAGACTGAGGGCCCCCAAGGCACAACTTGACAAGTGTCCAAGGCTTTGGGAGCCATTTCTCTGTTCCAGCCACAGCAATGAAATCCCCCCCGGTGCCATGGAGAGGGGGCTAGTGCAGCCCCTGGGCCAGGATGCTGCCCACCAGCGCTGTGTCCTGCAGCCTGTGCTCCAGCGCCGCCTCCTCCAGCTTCAGGGAGACCTGGGAGGGAGACAAGGGATGCTCAGCACTGCCCTCGTTGGATCCTGCCCTGCTGCCAGACCCCAGTCCCACCACCAGACCATGCCACCCCCCTGGTACCTTGGCCAGCCGGGCCTCCTTGGCCCTCTTGAGCTCGAGGACACCGCGGGACTCCAGCAGGGTGACAAGGGACAGACACTCGGCCTGGTCGACGGCGGGGAGCTGCTGCCTCCGGCACACCTGGCTGTAGGTGTCGTGGAGCTGGGGAGGGCAGAGGGGCGTCACAGTGGTGTAGTCACACCCCAGGGAGACCCCCAGGGACACCCACCCACTGCCCAGATCCAGCCCCGAGAGGGTCCTGCTGCCACTCACCTTGCCCAGGGTGACCTCACGGGCGCGCAGGTGCCGGGAGAGCAGGAGCAGGGAGCAGAGCAGCACCTTCTGCTGCAGTGGGAAGGTGTCCTGGGCCCCCTGGGGCCCCCCTGCCAGCCGGTCCCCAAACACCTCTGAGAGCACCCGGGAGATGTGCAGGAGCCCCACGCGCTTGGGGACGGGGGACACCGGGGAGTCACCTGTGGGACAGAGAGGGGGGTGAGAAAGGGAGGCGGCAGCGGGGAGCAGGTGTCCCAGAAAGGGACCCCAGACCCCAATTAAGGCCAACCCAGAGGTGCCCCCCCAGGGTTTTGGCTCCAGCAGCACCAACTCACCCCCGGGCAGCGGCTTGAGCAGGGTCTGGCCTCGCACCTCCAGCTCCACCACCTCCACGGCACGTCTGGGGAGGGACAGCGCTGAGCACAGGGCAGAGGCACCTCTGGCACAGGTACCCCCGGTGCAGGGGACCCATGGGGGCTCACAGGGGCCATGCTGTCCCTGGCACTGCCAGGTTTTGGGGCACACACTGACCTGCAGACATCCAGGGCCTTGCGAGCGTCACCAGAGACCGCGGAGACCTTGCGGGCGCAGAACTGAAGCGCGGCCGCGTCCAGGACGGGGTCACCGGCCACCTGCCGAGGCACTGGGGCCATCAGTGCTGCCCCCCGCACAGGCAGAGCCCCTCCATGCCCTCCCCATGTCCCCACCTGCCCCAATAGGATGGCAAAGCCCCCAGTGTCTCCCTTGTGTCCCCCCGTGTCCCCACCTGCCCCAGCCGCTCCTGCAGGATGCGGGTGAGCTGCTCCTTGGTGTAGGGTGGGAAGTGTAGCAGGCGGGGGCTGCCGGCCGGGTGGGCTCCCAGCCTGGCCAGGCTTCGATCCGTCAGGTCCAGGGCGTTGGCCAACCCTGCAGGGCGAGGAGAGGAGGAGGATGAGGGCTGTGACCCGAGGAGGCAGTGGGAGGGGAGCGCAAAGGCAACCCTCCATCAGCCCCCTCAAAACAGGGGGGGTGCCCAGGGGGGCAGTGCCACACTCCACACACTCACCCACGAGGACGAGCCTGGAGCTGGGCAGCTGGGTCCACTCGAAGAGGGTGTAGAGCACATCCTGGCCTTTGCTCTCAAGCTGGTCCAGCTCATCCAGCACCAGGAGCCTGCAGGGGGAGTGCAGATGAGTCCCCACTCTGCCCACCCTCCCCTCAGAGCACCCTAAGCAGAGAGAGCTGCTGCCAGGCCACCTCTCCCAGCATCCAGGGGGAACCCACACCACCCCACAGGGATGGGGAACTCACACCATGGCCCCCTGGGCCGTCAGATGCTTTTCCAGGCTCCGGATTTGCTCCCGGCCAGTGGCTGTGGGCAGCCCCAGGTGCTGTGCCAGGGCAGGGAAGACGCTGTGGGGGCTGCCCAGGGCCATGCAGTTCAGCACCACGGTCTTGCTCCCGGACAGCTCATCCTGATGGGAATGGGAATGTTACACCAGTCCTGAGCTGCTGCCCCCAGCCCAGCCCCCCAGAGCAGCCCCCTGGCCATGGCACAGACCTTGCAGTCAAGCAGAACACGGCTCAGACAGGCCGTTTTCCCGGTCCCGGGGGCTCCAGACACGTAGAGGCTGCCAGGCTGATGGTCCCGGACGTGCTCCCGCAGGAACTGCCGCAGGATCCCGGTCTCCCGTTCCCGGCCCTGCAGCCGGTCGGGCACGGCCACATGCAGCACTTGCTTGGCCTGCTGGTAGCAGGTACCTGCACAGGGAGGGACAGGGCTCAGGGGGCTTATGGTGCTGCCAGAACCCCATCCCCATCCCATCCCTATCTCCATCCCAATTCCAGCTGTATCCCCATCCCTGGTTCTATCAACACATCCCCATCCTCATCCCTGGCTCCATCCCCAACCCTATCCCCACGCCCATGCCCCATCCCAATCTCTGTCTCATCCCCATCCCCATAATTCCCCAGTTCTACCCCCATCCATTCCTCCATTCCTGCCCACACTCACCTTCCTGCCGGAAGAGCCTGGTCCGAGGGTTCTGCCCATTGACCCTCGAGCTCCGGGGGGTCTCTGGCCCCCCACTCCTCGGGGTCGGCCCCGGGCTTTTGGGCTGCTCGGGGGAGGCCGGGGTCTCCCCGAAGAGCAGCCGCCGGCCCCAGTTCTCCTTGCTGCGCTTGGCCGGGGAGCCGGGCAGGGCCTGGGGGACGTTGCAGAGGTTCTCGTCACCTGCAGGGGGACAGGGAGCGGTGACCGGGCCGCTCTCCCTGGGGGGCTTTGTGCTTCATCACCTCCCAAACCCCGCGGGAGCAGCTTCTCCTCCCAAAATGGGGGTGAAGCGCCAAACGCAGCTGGGCCAGGGATGGAGGTGGGAGCTGAGCCCATCCGCCTGCCTCGGCCGCCCCAGGGTGAGACTCCCACCCTGCAGGGGTGGGGATGGGCCCCCCACCATTCCCAGGGGGTCCTGGGGCAGGGGGGGAACTCACCCAGGCGCTTGCGGGGACTCAGGGGCTGTACTTTGGGGCTCAAGGGCTGCGCTGTGGCCCGGGCCGAGCGTGTGCTCGGGGTGGCCTGGCCGGGGGAGCCCGAGGCCTTGGGGCGCGGCGAGGGGCCGGGGTCGCTCTTGGCCGGGGTGGCGGCCCCGAGGCGGCGGGCGCTCCTCGTGCGGGGGAAGCCGATGGTGGGCTGGCTCTGCGGGCTGCGGCTGCTCATGGCGTAGGCTGCAGGGGGAGGGAGACAGCGGTCAGGCGCGGGGGACCCCGGTCAGACCGGGGAGACCCCCAGCC